AAACGTTGGAGACTATGTTTCAATGTTTAGTATAAGATCTATGCAAATTAAATTTCAATTATACAAGTGTCCAAAAATAAACTCGAAGCACTCTGAATGAATGTATAAATTAGATAGATAAGCATCAATAGTTGGAGAATATTATATCGCTAGAATCATCGCTAGGAGAATATTATATGGGAGAGAAACATTAATATCGCTGAAAATGTTGCGAAATTAATTTATATTAAATAGTGTAAGAAGAGATGGCCAACTGTCTAACACGAAGAAAGCAAAACCAAGCAACATGAAATTCAAATCCGAAAATCAATGCTCGAACAAAACGTAAATTAAAAACAAAATTAAATAATTAAATAATAAAATAAAGTTAATAATTCTTTGGTCTTAGCTAAGAAGCAGTCAAGATACTTATTTCACTGCTGTATATGTCGGTCCTACTAATCTAAAATACGCATGGTTTACAGGGTGAAACAACTAATAACTTCACACACGGGCTTTAGTCCTTTACAAAAGAGAAAAATGTCTTCGAGAGACAAAACCTTCGCAAGTATTCCATTCCACTAATTTCCTCAGTCCATATGCCTAGTTGCGATACTGGTATCCTTATAATTGCGATACTGGCCTGTCAGAGAGATTAAAAAAAGTATCTAATTTGGTACTTAAAAATGATAACAGATTCATTATTATAATTAACCGTATTCCATAAATAACTATTGACTAATATTTTAAAAGATTTTAATGAATTATAAATTATAATTTAGTATTATACTCATTTAAATTATTATTTTAGCAAAATTAAGAACTTTGGAATAAGGGGTAGATTTCTAATTCCGAAAAAATGTGAATTTAAAGACGCTCCTTTATTTTAAATATTTTTGATAAAAAATGCACATAGTGGAATAGAACAAATATGATAATCCATTTATCATTAATTGATCTTGTTTCTGTTTTGCAGAAAATCACGTCTGAGATCAAAACAGCAGAAACTATTAGTCATGGATACGCGATATATATATTTTTTAATTTCCAAAATTATACAAGAGTACGTTACTTATCAGAGTGAAATAATAGGAGGCATTTAAAAACTACTTATTAATAATATTTTGAGATATGCTTTATTAAAGTCACATTGTTAGCGTGGTTCATAAAAGACATTTTCTAATGCTTTGTAGTATGTATCTTTAATTTGTTTCTAGTTCTCTTAAATATGTGTTATCGTTTGCATCAAAAGTAAAGACTAACGATAAAATTCTGTAGCAATACAAATACTGTAATTTTATGCATACTTCTTTTTACTTTTATTTTAATAATATTCTCATTTACTACAAAATCTAGTTTTGTTGTTGGTATTGTAACGTTCTTATTCAATTGATACTTCAAATATATATTCACACGTTATTTCAACGCAAATAAAATTTTCTTACTTTAAAAAAAAAAAAAAAAAAAAAAAAAAAAAAAAAAAAGATTTCTATTATTTGATGAACTGCACTCTTCATATTAGAAAACATTCATTTATGACTAATTTCACCCGTTAAAGTGTAATTTGAAAGATTTTCTCTAAATTATTCTAAAGAGTGCTCTAAATTAATCTAAATTTCTCTAAAGATTTTCTCTAAATTAAAAAATTACGTTTATTGTACTTTACATATATGCGTATTAAATTGCTAAACAGTATAAGTTCCGAATATTCTGCAAAAGAAAACATGTATAAGCTGCAACAAATAAGGATACAAAAGCACACAAATTTATAAAATTTACAGAAAAAGAATAACTCAAAGGAAAAGAATGATGAAAGGAAAGAAAGTATTAGAAAAATTAAAAACACAAGACAGTAATCCACGATCAAAATAAAATTGTTTTGTCATATTCTCTGAAATGGTATGCTAAAGAAATGAAGGCTTAGGGAAAGAAACATTTAATAAAGTTCCGCTTATTTCGTTTGCAATTCAAAACTTTCGATGCGTAGTTCTTTTAATTATTTATTTCCTAAAGATAACAATGATGCACGTTATTTATAATCATTTATATAATGTTATCAGAACTTCTGATATCGTCTTCCGTTTCGTAATTCGTAGTTTCGTAAAACTATTATTTTACACAATGCTTTGATTACAAATGTTTGTTCTTTCAACTTAATTTTTAATGTTCAGAGAGACTGTGCTATGTTGAAACGATGATTTTTTTTGGTAAACTGACTGTAAACATGACAGGTAAAAAAAAACGATTTTGATATTGCTTGGAAGTTCTGCATTATAATACATTTATATTGGGAAAGTCTGAATAAAAATTATTTACGTTTGTATTATTTTTGTATGCTTTGTTTTCATAATTAGGTTAGTGTGTAATGAATCATCTATTTGGTAAGCAGAATAAAGGTATTTTGAGGTAACTTTCTTCGTTCAATGTAACTTTTATTTCGGAAGAAAAAGTGGTATGTTAATGGTTTTAAGAAGCTTCTCTCTTATATTAGAGATTCAGGTTACATATCACTCGTTCAACAGATAATGTTAGTCAGAAGTCTAGAGAAACTCTTTTGTTCTGTATGTATATATATATAAGAAAGAGAGATGTGATTTTTTTTTTTTTTTTTTTTTTTTTTGGATGGAACGATATAAAAACTAATTGCATCATAATCGCGGTCGGAGTGGCGGTGATAGAAGATAGACTGACAATAGGCAAATGGAAGTTTTTTGAAGAATCACTTGATAATACGAACGTCTCTTTATTATTTGTAGATTCTCATCAACATATCTCATTACATGGCACATTGGCGACAATCTGCGCCTCAGAATTTTAAAACGCAGTTACATTTTTTAAACAATGCAGAACTATAGCTTAGCAAAGAGACGTGATTTAGGAGGATAGTGAATGCGGCGAATGAGAATGCGCACAAAACAGCTGAAGTATTTATACTCGGGTATTCTTGAATTATAAATGATGATTGGATAAAAGCTCACAGTAATGAGGGATACTGCAGGGAAAGAATGACGTCAGTGAAGAAGCAAAGAGAGTTGTCTTTTAAATCAAAGTATAAATTTAAATGTCTATTGTCAAAAGTTTGTTAGCTATTTTATATTTTACGTATCTATATATATGTGTGAATTGATTTATCTAGATGGTCAAATGGGCTTGTTAGGCCTTGGGCACTACAAATTATAAAAACATTTTGCTGATAGTTTTACACATAGAATTTTTAAACTGAATAATTAACAAAAGTAAACATTATCTGAACAAACTGTACTAAAAATGTAATTCATCAGAATAAAAATTGTAATACTTATGTAACCATAATTGGAATTCATTAGAAAGTAAAATAATTAGTAAATGGGTTATGTTTCTATTTATATTCGCAATTTATGCATATTCGTAATTTAATAACCTTTAAAAGTTACGAATGAATGTTAACGCGTCATGGAAAAATTTGTATCTTCTCATTCTCAGTGTCTAAATGTTGTCTAACGTAAATGTACGACAGTGCGTACATAACGTAGTTTCATGTAAATTTACGTTTCATGTAAATTTACGTTACGTAACGCATGTAATGTTATGCATTTACTTTAAGCATATCATGTATATCATCGCATTTATATAAAGTATGTAATGTTGCGTATTTAGGTAACATACGCAATATTACTTGTTTACGTAACATGAATTATGTATAATGAATTTACTTATTGTTACATAAATTCAAAAAGAAGCTTTTATGTAATTCAAATTGCTTGTTTATAACAAGTAAATTTCACTGCTTTTATTGTATGACTTCCAGAATAAAGACAATTATTTGTTTGGACAACAGTGCTTTAATTTTCACGAAATACTTTTTAGATTAATCATAATTCATGATTAGTTACATTTAGTGATTTCTAGACTTTACTGGTAAGAAGTTAAGGAAGTTGAGGGAAAATTTGCATTCTGAATAATAATTTCTGCTTCAAACAAAGTTCGAATTTTTAATGCAAAAGGCCCTTCAAAACTTTCCTTTCGCCCTTATGAATCAAGTTATTTTATACTTTCTGTGGTGATCCTTCAGAATGCGGTAAATTATATAGATCAGAATAAGTAAATAAATAAATATAATTTATGGAAACGGTAAAGCACGTAGCAGTTATCTTGCCAAATTACGATATAAAACAAATTATTAAAGAAAAATACTATATAAACAAATTAAATTACGATATAAAACTGTTTTCAAAATATAAAAACAGTTAGAGAAACTTGAATAATATTCAAACTTTTAAACCCTCTTAAATTTTTTTTACTGAGACTGTTGACATGAAAAACCAATCAAATCAAAATTTTCATTTATTTCTTACTGGTGAACTTCAGATGCATACAAACTGAAAAGTGCCTGCAAATACAAATATCAAAAAATGCAAAGTCGTATTTTTAAATGAGGTATCGAAAATGTTTTTAAGCAGTTTGTGATTTCGTTTCACAAGAGATTTAGATAAAATAGCATTAAAGATTAAATTTCAACAATAAATTCTAATTAAATTCCATAGGTACCTGCAAATGAAGTAACTCTTCATACTTTTATTACTGAATGGCGTAGCTTTGGAGCCCACCAGCAGCTGAACCAGTGACTAAAGTAGCTAAAAACTGGTAGTTCGGTTCATGTTTCGAATCTCGGCGAACGGGGTGACTTCACGGACTTTTTTCCAGTTTTCGCCATATGTAAAATTTATACAAACCAGTTTCCGTTAAAAAATCCTCCAGGAAGGCATCCCTTCCTTTAGACAAATAGCCCTCGAGCGTTTTGTCATAATTAAATAAAGATACCGAGCAGTTTTGCGTTGTACTTGAATTACACTATTAATCACAGTACGATTCGGATCTGAAAAAGTGCGTTTTAAAGATAAGGAAATATCTTCACTTAATTCTTATTTACCCTTACATTTATTTAATCGCAAGACAATAAACCAATTTTTCTTCTTATAAAAGAAGGATGTAATTCTGTTTCTTTAAAATTATTTTTCTGCAATTGAAAAAATATTACTTACCATCAGAAGACAATAAGCTTTCTATTTCTTCATCTGATAAGCCAACAAAATCAAAAAAGGCATCAGCGTTTAATGATCGAGCGATTTCTCGAATTGAGGAGCCAAAATTTTCATCAGGTGATCTTTGAATAGGAGCACAACTCACAGTGCATTCACAAAAGCCATTCCTGTCTACTGGAGTATCTGGCTGTTTTGTTACGCTCGTGGGTCCCGTCGACTCATCCACATCAGGTTGAATTTCTAAAACAAAATAAAAGGATTTATAATAATCGATATACAATATATCAATTGCTACATTTTCTTTAACTGAGAATATACAAGTATGTTACATATTTTCAATATATTTACAATTTATTGAGAACTTACGCAACCCACCCAAAAACTTATTTATTTACTAACCCAAAGAATACCTAAATATTTCTTGAAGGTACGTTATTGCAACATTCATCTTATTATTGAAGAATTCCGGTTTTTGAAAATATAAATACACTAGAGAGAAACATAAAAGAACAGTTATATAAAGAAGTTTTATATTAGTTCTATTAAGTTAAATCCAAAGTAGTAATTTGATCGCTCAAGATCAATGTTGTTCCATAATCCAATGGGATTCATCTTCACTATACAAATACATCCAAATTTTTAGCCCGTTCTTTCGAAAATTGTGGAAAGGAGTTCAGGCAGGTATTCTAAATTCTAATTTGAAGGACTATATGCGAAGCGAGATAAAAGTTTTGTATATGGAAGATGGAACGTGTCATTGAAAAGGCATTTGATGGATTGTGAGAAATAGCATGCGATTGGAAGAATGAAGCAAAACATAGATTAGCACATGTCTAGCAGCCAAAAGCCTCATACCGAAAATATGGAAACGATTTAAACACATTGGCGATGAATGCAGAGTACCAGGTCAAGGACGAAAACGTGCCCAACCGACATATGTGTCAGCAGTAGCTAGAAATATCCTTATGTGAAAGCAACAGCTAAAAGATATAGACAACTGATGTCAGCCCAAAATGCAAAGGATCTTGTTACAGATACAGAAACTCGAGGATCTATAGATATGTTGGCTGCCAAGTTGCCTAAAAGAGGGCTATACGCAAGGAAACTTATGATTTGTGTCAAAACAATACGGGCTCAGAAATGAGCCCAACTGAAATGAAGAGGTCATCGTTGAGTATTACGGAGTGTAACGATTTCTGTTTAGTGGTGGTTAGTCTCGTTTTTGTTTGGCGAGTAATTCTAGACGTGTTACAATCTGAAGGGACTAAAACACACGCAATAAGCCTGAAATCATCCTTGATATGCATCACAACAGGTGGTGGAACACACGGCAGAAGAGGGCCTCATTTTGAACGACCGCATTGACCTACACATTTTTACCAATGCAATTATGAATACTTAAATATATAGATATAAAGTTATTGATCCTTGTATCAAATTGTTTAGGTTTGCAGTCGTGATTACACTTTGTTATCGCAGAAATTCTCCATCAATCTAATACTCAGCATAGAAAATCCCTATAAAAGCAGGAGTTCTCAACCAGAAGAAATTCCATCCTGCGATAGTATTTCATAGTTTCAGGGAGGGGAAACTACTCAGCCTTTTATTTACCTGTTAGGTATTTAATTTTAGTTTATGAATATTAAAAAGTACTTTCATTAATGCTTTAGTATTTATCAACACTTTCTGTGCTTTTCTCCACAATTCCACAGCTCTCAGCCATTCAGGCCACAGCTATTTCCATCATGTCAAACGCTGGCACGACATACATTTGTGTCTCCACCTACATACCACCAATGAAACCACATGCAGTTGTTGAGACGGACCTCAATGCAATACTCTCACTTGGTACACATATTGTTATAAGTGGAGACCTAAACGCTAGACACCGAACCTAGAACTGCTATAATTCCAACACTATTGGCAATGTAATATTCAACTTGGTCCGTTGGGTCCCTTTTCAGATAGCAGCTCCAAGTACCCCAAAACGGTATACTGCTAGATCTGCAGGTATTCTGGATTTCTTCCTTCTCAGAAATACCAGCGCTCCGCTGGATATTTCTGTGATGGATGAACTGTCCTCAGATGATCACAATGATGGATCACAATGCGGTCCGATTGATCCTGGATATTAGTAGTTATACCACATCAGTCAAAAGAGCCTTTAAAACTAACTGGCAAACTTTTGCCAAAGCTCTAAACAACATTCAGTACCCTATCCCAACAATCCACACGGGGATGACATTGACAGTTTAGTCAAGGAATTCCCCTGAAGTATTCAAAATGCACACAAAAGCGCCCAGGTGGAGCTTAAGGACAAGAAACCTATTAGATCTAAGGAACTGAATGTTCTGATCAAAAGACGTAATGCTGCCAGGAGGCAGTTCCAAAGAACAAAGAACAGACAGGATAAAATTGCTCTCAACAGATTGTATGACCCAGTCAAGTTTCGTACTAGTTATTATGCACAACTCCGCTGGGCTGGATACCTTGAGTTCCTTTCCAGGGATGATAACTCCACCTGGAAAGCATTAAAATGTATAAAAAATGCTACAATAATATTCCGCCCCTTAAAGGCCCTCAAAGGATCCATTACACTCAAACTCAGAAGGCAGAACTTTTAGCTCAGCATCTGGAATCTCAGTTTTACACTAACAGCATTCATGACTCTGCCACAGAATTAATGGCTGACTTTCACAACAGTTACATAGCAAGCCCACACACAGACAACACGATCTCAGTCATGCCATCAGAAGTCTGCGCCTATGTTAAAAAATTGAAAAATAACAAGAGCCCTGAACTTGATGCTATTAACAATAGAATGATTAAAATGTTTCCAATCAAGACTCTCCTCTACTTCACCAAGATCATCAACATCATCCTGAAGTGGCAACACTTTCCGGACTGCTGGAAGATAGCTAAGATCACTTCTATCCAGAAACTTCGTAAGTCTGGTTGCCTGCCAGAATTATACCGGCACATTAGTTCACTGTCGTCTTTAAGTAAAGTCATGGAAGCTGTCCTGCTGACAAGAATTAACGAACATCTGGAGCAAAATAATATTATTATACCCTACCAGTTTGGGTTTAGAGGTAAACACTATACTGTTACTCAACTTTACCGGGTCGTTAAATGTATCAGTGAAGGGTTACAACAAAAAAAGATTACAGGAGGATTATTTCTGGACATAGCAAAGGCTTTTGATCGTGTATGGCTAGACGCACTCATTTACAAGCTACACAATCTGGGTTTCCCAGATTACATCACAAACATAGTCAACAGGTAGACAGGTAGACGCTCTGTCGTTCAAATTACAAACACCATATCTACACGTAGAGCTATCCTCGAGGGCGTCCCGCAGGATAGTCTGCTTGGACCCACTCTGCTTGGACCACATAAATGTTATCTGTAAGATTTTACAAAAACAGATTCATTAATAAAATGCTGTTTAATTGTACCTGCACTTTTTTCTATCAGGTTTTTAACATATCGCAAGTAAAATGAAAAGCAAATAGTTTACTTATTACCTTAAGCTAGGTAAATGTTACATTTTTAAATATTTTAGAATACTTTCATACATCAACTATATTTTAAGTGAAATTACTGATTGAACAGATTATATATTTCATATTCGATGCTTACAAAAGTACGTCAGCTTGGAAATAAGAAAAGTTATTGCGACCTGACAATTCTATTTTTCACAAAACCTTTTTAATTTAAAAATGTATGTACTCGCAACTTTGATTTTATTTACAACCTCTTGTCATTCAAAGAAACTCCTGACATTCTTCTAAAAATTTCCGTAACTATCCAGAACTTTGGAGAAATGGTTATATTTGTAGCCATAAGTATTGTAGAGACATTAGGTATTTTTTGGAAGCAGGAAAGATGAAAAATTAACAAAGCCTTCGCCGGGAATCGAGTCGCGGACATCTGGAATACTGACCCAGTGGGCAGACCACCACACCACGAAGGCACGCCAAGAAAGTGGAAGAAATACATTATAATATAACCAGGATATATACTGTGCGTAATGATATAAATGCGACAATAATAATTAAAAAACTTATACAGAACGGATTTGATACATGCACGTGTGAGATAGCTTCTGTTTTAAGAGTTCAAATCAGAGCACAAATGTATGAGAAAACTTTCTTCTATAATTAGTAGTAATCCGTCTTTTTTCTGATAGAAAATATTATCCTCGTAGAGAATCCAAGTTTACAATGAATTTGACGGCGTTCTGAACTTTCTAAATCTATTGTTAAAGGTTCATTTGAAACAATCTGGGAAGAAACACAAGTATGAACAGTGGATGCCATACGAATTAATCCCTATCCAATGGCAAGCAGAGTAGTAGCGTGTACCTTACTTCTATTTTAAAACTCATTATAAGCAACTGATATGAGTACGAGAAGAAAAAGTTAATGCAAATATTAATCATTCACATGAACGACAATGGCTCTGCTCTTAAGAGCAAGGAAATTTCTATACTAAAGACAGAATTGGGTATTCTGAAAAACTTGAAATACTAAGGGAGTCATTCACTGGGAGCCATTTGCGAAAGAATGTGTAATGAACGTTCAGTATCGCAGATAAGTACTCAACTAGCTTGCTAAAATTAAAACATAGGGTAAATGTTACATTTGTGTGCAATTGCTGCAACAGTCTACAAAAACTTTAAACTCAAAGGTGCTGGACAAAATTTACTCATATACCTCATATAATCTCGGTACCTATTAGACACCTTCTCATTTCTATATTCGCAAGCCATTGCTCTGCGGAAAAAAGTTCGATATAATGAGGAGAGCGGAAATTCGCTTAGCCCTAATAAAACGAGGACAGAAATATGAGCCTAGTAAGAAATAAAAGGTTGTAAGATGACAAAGGACCGTAAATAGTGTTTGTCCATAAGTGCTTAAAAATTGAAATGTTTATAAGTATAAATTAAATACCCCCCCTGTTTTTATTGCTGTCATCATTTTATCCAAAGTTTCACTGCATAGTCTGATCAGCAATAATGCCACATCATTTCTGTTACAGTAAAAGTGGAATGTAACAAATTGCATCTACACTACAGTATGCCTTTTTTGTTTTAACAACAGGGAGGAAAGCCATCTATGAAACCTATGGGAAGAATTTTGTGTTTGTCAATATGTATGAAAAGTTCTTAAAAACTTAGAAGTGGCAAATTTGACATTAAGGGCAAAGAGTGTCCAGGAAAAGCAAAAGAACTCGACAATAACTAATTGCAAGGATCTCTTGGAAGAAACCCCTTTCAAAAGTGGAGGACTTGAAAAAGAATATCCATGCTTTTTTCTCTTTCTTTTTGGTTGTTGTTGTTATTAAATAAATATATTTAAAAATTCGAGGCCATTTGTAAGCATTACTAGTGTAAATTCTAGTTACTATCAGCAATCGGGCTCAACTTTTTCTATAACGTAATATCTGCTAAGAGGGTTTTACAAGTCTATGCATGTTTTGTTTGTGGCTTCATACCTTCTAATGCTTTTTTCAAAAATTCATATTACTGAGCATTCCAGGTGATTGTTAAAATATTTTGAATTCCTTAATCAGATTGTCTCTTATCAGGTGTAATAATTATCCTATAAGTTCAGGGAATCCCCTATCAGCCAATTTTCTTTCTAAATGCATTCGGAAGGAAAGCAGGAAAAAAGAAAGTAAAATTGTATATGGTATAATACAACATACATTTATATTCTTTTCTGGAATAACCTTTGGTATTTTAAAATTATTTTACATTTTTAGGCATAATAAATACAACACTTATCAAATTATGTAATTATTGCTTAAAGAAATCTAACAGATTTTCGCTAGTTTTACGCATTTAGATCGACGACTAAAATTAATGCTGAATTTGAACTAAATGCAATAAACAGTTGAAGTATAATTTTATCGCAGAAACAAAAAAATTAACAAAAATTATCTTAGACTTTTTTCTTTTTCTTTGTTTCTAGGCATTGATGCATGTTACTTTATACAACCACATGGTTTGGAAAATCGAGTTTCGACAAAAACTAAAAGGAGAAAAACAATTCTTATTATTACTAGTGACTTTAGTAAGATTTGCTTGGTTAGCCAACTTCAAATGCATCCTTGTTTGATATACATGTATAAAACAAAGAATAATAACTCTATGTCTTCAGACTTTTCCTCTGCACAAACATATGTTGTTTCAGACTGTATTCAAAGCAATTTGTTTGAAATGTTAAAGAAGTAAGGCAGCTCGTTATATTTCGAGTAGCTTCAAATAAACTTTGGTCTATTTCAGAAGTTGAAAATATGAAAAATAATTTCTTATACTAGTATGGTGAAGCATTCCTGGTTTTCGATTATGCATATGGAGGTCTATTTTCCCGACAGTTTTAGATTTTAAATACTCCTCAAGCAATACTGTTATATTTAAAATTACATACTGGGGGAAAAAAAAAAAAAAAAAAAAAAAAAAGAAAAGAAAAGAAAAGAAAAAAAAAAAAAAAAAAAAATTATTTTCAAGTTATCATTTTCCTTTTTTAATATGTTTACTGGCCTTTTTTTTTCACATATATGGTTTTCAAATGAAGTACCTAAATAATTTAAATTAAAAATGCTTCGAATATAAGTATTTGATGTCTAAGTTAAATAACAGATGAATTTGGAAGACATGAAGTTGGTAAAAGTTTTAATTTCTGAAGGAAACTTTACTTCAGAATAGCGTTTTTAATGCTACATAAATTTATCTCGCCCTTTAATATAATCATATTAAGACCATTTATATCTTTTATGCTGCAATGTATAATACGGTTTCAAGGTGAAAATTTCAGTCATTCAGATGCTTTTATAACTTTTCAAAACGCTTTCCGTATACGGACATACTCGGACATGATTAACAAAAGCAAAGGTAGTTGCATAATTTATTAAATTAATTAAGTTTTAGTTTAACTTAATTATAACCCTGGAATGTAAGCTGCTTTCAGAACTAAAGTTTTATTTTTGATGAACTAATATATGTTTGTTATCAAAGATACAGAATTCAAAGATACAGAATATTAATTTTTCATTTAAATAAATAAGAAGGGGAATATTTTTGTATTACTCGTCTATTTCAGATGATATAATGAAACGATTTATTATTCAAAATGCAATTAATTTAGGGAAACATACTGTTGCTTCTACGGGTTTGTGGATTTGGAGTAAGTGATGACAACACTTGATGAAAAATCAAGACACAATTTATTCGTCAGTAGGCACTGTTGCACACGACAGTTCCAAAGACACTTTTACACTCGACGAAAAACTACGACAAATACTCTGATGGAGCAACACAGCCTTCAGGATATAACGGTGAAACTAGTTTCACGGCAAAGCAATAAAGTACAGCTCCCGACTCGGTCGATAGCTCTCAAGCTAATCTATGAACTGAAGACACTACTCTCTCACAGTACAGGCAGGATATATATATATATATATATATAGCTTTAACCTGCCTTTGAGAATGTTCTGGGAAAAAACCGCTAAAAATGTGTTCTAGTATGTTCTCTCTCCGTCTATGACATATCGCCCAATTCGTAGCCAAATATCACCAAATGGACGATTTCAAATCTGGCAACCCTAAGCCCGGTTTGCGGGGAAGCTATCTACCCGCAGTTGTGCATTTCGCAACAATACAATAATGTATTGATACATTAACAAGGGATTTGCATGTATGCGTTAGGAACAAGGATATTCGTTTCTCAAGATCAATTTAGTAACTAATAAATCCCTACGTATATTCATTGTATCAGAAGAAGAAGGTATAAAATAAATATTTTTCTTTCTAGATTTAATTTTCCTCTTAACCTGACTATTAATTGCGAGTAACTTCTCCACCATAGTCTCAAGACTCTATGTATTTATTAAAGGACATACATTTTAAGCGTAAAAGCAATAGGCCAAGAAATGATTGGGATAATTAAATTCGTTCAGCCATTTTATTTATATAAATCAAACCAAGGAACATTTTCATGTAAGCTTTAAGCTATTCCTTATTTTCAATTGAAGTTCAATATCAGCAATTCTATCATGTACCATCTATTACCTTTCCATTATTCATAATTCGTAATACTAAAATTGCACAGTGATTTCATGCTTTCTGCATGCTGCAGAGTAAAACTTTAAATGGTGTAAGGCAAATGAAAATATTTGTGCGTTTATTGCGCAAAAACTATTTTGAAAATTATACTTAAGATGAAATATTTGAAGGCTTACCTTTTTGTTCTATGACTCCCGTTTCATGTTTTGATGACTCTTTCTGCGGTCCTGTGTCATCGCTGATTAAAGAACCATCATTTTTAGGATCATCGAATGCTTCAATCTGAGTCTGTATATCATCTTTATTTGGCACTGGTGGAATGAAATAAATTTGGTCTTCAGGAGTACCTTGAGTATTAAAGTCACCTAGAGTCGATGTATGCTGACTGATTTCTGGTTGCGCAGATACAAATGCTATGTTATCAGTTACTTTTTGTTGATTTAGGATATCTTGTATAGAATTTCCTTGATTAAAACGAGTCTTTCCCGTATTTTGACTTCCTATGCCTTGAGTGAAATAATGAAGAGTTTGTTGAACGTTCTGAGGATTACCCTGTGCATTTATTCTTTGAGCGTTGCTACCAGACTTAATTGAGTAAAAATTTTGATTTTCTGGAGGAATAGAAGCTCTGTTAAAATTCGGATATCCTTGAAGGGATTGTGGCACTCTCCAACCATTCTGACCATTGTTTAAATTTTGACTGATTTTATACTGATCATTATTCTGCTTAATTTGAACATTTAGTTTGCCAACTGATTGTCCAGCTTGAGACGGTCCTTTGTAATTTTGATTTTGTCTGTTAAAATGATTATAATTTTCAGCTGAGAGGGGTCTAAAACTTTCTTCTCTGTGGTGTCTAGTAGGCTGATTGCCATAGGAAGTTAATACTGGACTCTGAGAAATTTGTTGGGGGTACCTAACTTCATTTTGTTGATACTGATTTGTTATGCTGTATGTATTTCTTTGATCAGGGACGAAATTTGTGTTCGCTGGAATAACAGGAGCTCTGGCATCAAGTTTAGGTTCCTCTGGGTAGTTACCTCTATTTGGCACATTAAAATTGGAAACTGCTTCAATATTATAAGCATTTCCTTGGTTATTAGGAGCAAGATTAGCCGTCTGCTTTTGAAAACTTCCGTTATCTGGTCCAGGGAAGGAAATCTGTTCAGGATGAATATTAGCATCCGGTTGGGAAAATCCATTATCAGGTATCCTGTGTTCGAGGTTATAATTCCCTTGCTGAGGCCGTACTTCACCAGGTATTTTATGTGGAGGTTCAGCGTTCCTATTATTGTTTGCTACTACATGATTCCTGATAGCATTAGGATCAGGATGTCGTTGAGACTCGAACTGATGGTTAGGAATTCTATCATCTTGCGAATTTCTTAACCTATCACGTGAATGATCCTGCACTTCTTTATTCCCAGCAACATGACCTTGTATTTCTGGTTTAGATGGTGCATTTCCTTGCTTCTGTGGTTGTCGTAAATTTTGTAGTTGCTGATGGACATCTCCAGGTAATAAAAGTCTGATTTCAGGCACATTATTCAAGTTTAAAGGAAATGTTGAAATTTGTGTTCCTTTATCTTCTGCATGTAGAGCTGACACTGCACCTTAAAGATAATGTGATAAATTTTATAATCTTGTTAATAATATCAAATAATAACTAATATTACTTAGATATTTACAGATTTTCATTACAGATTTCTAAAATATATAAAATTGTTAATCTTTAAGCTTGCAGGCCCAGCCCGTATGTTTTTTGTATATATAGGACTAATAGCAGACTGCTATTTATTTTGTTTTTATTTTTATTTTTATTTGATTTGATTTTAGCTAGATTAAGTGTTTCGGATAGTTTAACATATTTTAACACCTTAATGTGTCATTTTGTGCGGACGCGTCGGGAAATTGGAACAGAGAATTGAGACTATTAAATTTTCCAAGACACTTTGTCTAAATTAAAAAATTTTTGTAGCGTAAAAGTTCAATTGTCTGTTTCGGCGAAACGCGTAATGGGGTTAGCTTGATTCGACGTTCAAACAAATTAAATTTCCCTTGAAAAGCCAGTTTGGAAGTCGAGTTAGGCTAATTACCATTTTTTCGCTTACATTTTTGTCTGTTTCTTTTTTTTTTCTTTTTTTTTTTTTTTTTAATTTTTTACATGTTAATGTTTGATTTTCATATGTCTTAATTTTTTTAAAACGTGTTGAACTTTTGGAGCACAGCTCCTGGTAACTTTTAGGCGAGCTTACTACAATTTTTTATATTTTTACTTATTTTGCACATATTGCGCAAGATGTTTTCTAGACCAAATGGTTTTTCAAAATTGTAATTACTACCTTGCTTGATATATATATAATATATACCATACTAATACAGCCTATAATTTAATTTTACGCATTGCTGTCTAATTTTTGTACAATAAAAATATTCATTTACTATATTATAAATGCAATTGTTAATGTAGTAGTGCCGAATAGACTAGATATATATGATATTCATCTTACGGAAAACACGATACCACATAAAAATATATATATATATAAAAATAAATAAAAAAATCTGTGTTCAGAAATAAAAAGTATCATTTATTTAATCTTGAATTTTGTGTTCTTGTTGGAAAAAAAATATTGGTTTCATACAATGCGTTTAGTGTGTTTAAGAGTGCAGAAAACTAAAACATCTATTTTTGTTCAGTGTTCCACTATTCCTATTTAAAAACCGAGCATACAATTTTGTGCGTTAATCAAGCACAGTAAGACCCTGCTTAGCTCAGGAATAAGTTTCATCAAAGTCCTGCGCTAAACGAAACAGCGTCAAACGAGATCATCTTAATGTGTAAATAATAGGGATAAGTGAAGCAAAAGACAGCATAAGAAATAAAAAATTATCAATTTTTATTTTTTTCGTTTTGTAACATTTATTGTTAAGTACGCTTTTATTACATTGATTGTAGACTTATTTATTGCTATGACCGACTTTTATTCATAAAATATTCATGATTATTCATAAAGTATTCATAGAACATTCATGAGAACTTTGTCACAAACATTATGTTGTGACAAAGAAAGTTCTTCCTAATTTTTTACTTTTTAATTTTTGTTGTTTTTATTTATTTATTTATTTTCGTTAGGAAATCTTTTGGTATTATTTGTTTTTTACTGTTTTGTTCAGCAATTATTTCATGATAGCAAAATGTCGCTCGAATAACACTTAGTTTTGTATTTGAACATATCTTAAAATTTAAATCATTTTATGTAAATTGATCCACAGTTTTCGTTATAATGGTTAAACTTTTTTCAGAAAATCCGTTGAAAGTTTCTTTTGCTCTTGATCTTCAAGAATGCCGATTTCGTCATCTCCATTTATCTGTAATTAGACTAATTTTTTAAGATCATCGTTGGAAAGACTTTCATCAGTTGTAATTTGTAATAATTCTTCAACATCCTGCGCATTTATACTATCCAACTCTATTTATTGCATTAGCTAGCATGACAATTTCGCAGCCTCCAACAATGAATTCTCTTGTATCAACATCCTTGCTTAGCTCCGACCGTACATTCTTCCATAATCATTTAAACATTTCTCGTTCACCTCAGTCCAGGACAGATCGATGTTTTCTTCAGCATCCATGATATTCTGGCGTTTCCAAAAACCTCTAATGAATTGTTTATCTTCTTCATCGGCTTTATCCATCAGTTGTCGAAATGTCAACCTCAGTTAATAAGATTTAAAGTTGAAATTATATATTGCTCTATTGGTCACATTAACGAAGTAGGATTGGCAGCAAGAAAACCACTTCTGCTAGAGTGCATGTTGTTAACTCGGACAAGTGCGTTAGATGGCTTGGAGCATTATCAATCAAAAATAAAACTTTCGGTTTTAGTTTTTTAATTTTTCAGCAGCGGTTAACAGATGGGAAAAAATGTTAAAACCAATTCTCGAAAATTTTTATAGTGATTCAAGAAGTTTTTATTGAACTGCCACATTTATGGTAAAGATGATTCTGAAATTCTTTCAATGCTCTTGAGGGCTTGAAATGACAAACAAGCACTAATTTAAATTTAAGTCACCAATAGCATTATATCTAGTAGAAATGTTAAACGATCTTTAACAGCTTTAAGTCCTAAATTAGCCAAGCAGTACTGATACTGCGTGCGATTTCGGGGAATCCCAACATTACCGAGTAATACTGAAATAGTACTCAGCTGGGTCTTACGGTATAACATCAGAAAGATCGATAATTAATCACCCTTCACCATCCACATTATATTTTATAACAGATACTTTTCTTCATTATTTATCGTACCATTTGGTCTTCTGCTCTGAAGACTCACTCATTTGAAGAAAAAATATATTATTCAGCTTATGTTTTTAATAAATTACATTTTGGTACCCTTGTTCTATTATCGCTGATAAATATGAAAATGTTTCCTAGATTTCTCGTTTTCTTTTTAGAAGAATCTGTAAGTATCTGGTTTATTATTCATATGATTAATTTTGTAATCCTTATATTAAATATGTAGTGTTTTATGCAGATTAACCCAACTTTCTTAATAATTTGCCTTTCCTATCATTTCGTCTTTCATTTGCTCGTACCAGGATGTAAAGATGTTATTGTAAAATAAGCGTAGGTTTCTTGAGTTCGAGAGAAAATCTTTGGCAGCTATCGTTGCTTTATCCCCTTGCTTCTGAATTGATTTATCAGCTTAAGATTCACTAGCCATCATTACTTCGTTAAATACAAAATTTGGAAAGAATTAGGAATCATCCTGCATACAATGTGATCAGAATCGGAGAAGAATTTTATATAAAATATTGGGATATATTTTAAGGAAAATTACTTTCAAATTTTTAGCATACATATACATTTAGATTCTTGAAACTTAAGAGATAAATAAAATTAATGAAACTCGACTAAATCGTTCTTTCTTTTGATATAAATAGTAAATAAATATTGCAAATTTCATTATTATTACCGAAGTTGAAGTAGATCAGTTTTGCTAAATCCTACAGAAAATTAAAAAAATTGTGTAAATACTAAGAATTTTGAAGATTTTAATGAGTAAAGTTTATTGAATATAACTTTTTGTAACAATGTTTATTACTTTTAGACTTCTTAGCTTTTTCAGGTTACATATCAGAACTGTTTCTTTCGTTCTTCTCATTTCGTATTTGTGAAGTTTAACTATATTCAGCAGTTTTATTTTCAAATACAATATTTGCAGTTGGTAACTACAAATCAGAGCTGTCACATTATTATCACAGCTGTGTTGAAAAGGGCTTTGCTATAACGTTTCATTTTATATTAGTAGTTTATTTGTGGCTGCCAAATAATGTTTCAAATTTTTTGTACTGCTAGAAAAATAAATCGCGATTGAAATGTTGTTTAAAAGCATGTTCTGTGCTTGAATATGGATTCTATTTGCTCAGTATTCGAGGCATTCAGGTGTCATTATGAAATTCAGATTTGAGTTCACTAGCTGCTAGAAATAGGTTAGAAAATGGTACAATAGAAGTTAATGCATAAATATTTTATCATCGGATTGACAAAAGAATTTGCTAGTATGCTATAATAAAAGAACTTTGAAGAATGAGAGGGGAGTTTGAGAAATCTGGGTCACCATACAGGTTCGCTGTCTTTTATGGAGTTTAAAATGAAACTAGATATGATTTTTTAAAAAACAAAGTATCATTAAATTGTATTTTTGTCAAAACAACTCCAAAATATACCGACACATAGAGATGATAAAAAGCTTGTACAATCATTAGTCATATTTTCTAATAGTCGTACAAAAATATGAATAAATACGAAACAAACGAAATATTCTAACTTCCTGTTTTTTATTATTTTTCATTTATACGTTTTATTTAGATATTTATTTAGCCTTCTTCCTTGTGCTTTTTGATGTATTAAATTTATATTGGGAATTCGGAGTCTAAATTTTCATCAGTAATGTTAGATCTATATTTTAATATAATTATCATCATTGCTTAAGCCTTTTATCCTTTGATTTGGTAATTGTTACTCCAATTGCATATCCTTATAATAATTAAATCTAGTATCTTAAAATCCTCCTCTTTTAATAGTTGCATTTACACTTTTAGCTCTTACCCATCTTCATTTATTTATTAACTTTTATTTTAAAAGAATAATGCATTTTTTTTACCTTTTCAAGTTAAACAACGTTAAAAATTTCTTACTCAGAAGCAAAGAATGCCGAAGTGTGTTTATAACACATTCAAGATACAATTCACATCATGCAGAAGCCAGAAAGAAAGCCTTCGTTCGAAGAAGAATAAAATTTTTAATCTTTAAAATTTCAAGTAAGTATACTGAAAAATATTTGTTTTTATGGAAATTTTATTAATTAAAAATTAATATAGCAAAAATCGATTATGCGACAATAATATGTAGATTTTTAATATTTTTCAGTTACTAGACGTTTTGAAAAAATTCACTTTCAAAGTTAATATAGATATGCATATGTATGTATGAAACGAGTAGATCAAGTGAAGAATAGGATTTAAGTTTTGAAGAATCAGAAAATGATTCCGAAAACATTTAGTTTTCAGATGTTTACTATTTTGAAGTATCAGAATATAAAGA